TCTCTAAAGACTCCCTTCAGAGCTCGTCTATAAAGACTCCCTTCAGAGCTCGTCTACGAAAGACTCACTTCAGAGCTCATCTATGAAATACTCCCTTCAGAGCTTATCTATGAAAGACTCCCTTCAGAGCTCGTCTATAAAGACTCCCTTCAGAGCTCATCTATAAAGGACTTCCTTCAGCTCCTCCATAAAGGATTCCTTCAGAGCTCATCTATAAAGGACTTCCTTCAGCTCCTCCATAAAGGATTCCTTCAGAGCTCATCTATAAAGACTCCCTTCCTAGCTCGTCTATGAAAGACTCCCTTCAGAGCTCGTCCATGAAAGACACCCTTCAGAGCTCGTCTATAAAGACTCCTTTCAGAGCTCGTCTATGAAGACTCCCTTCAGCTCGTCCTGCTGCCTCCTGCTCATCTATAAAGCTGCTTTGTAAAGAATAAACACTGAAAATTATTTGGCGCCATCTAGTGATGTATAGCACAGTTATATTATTTTGCGGCATGTTGAACGAGAATTTGCTCCATTACCTAAGCCTCATTCCTTAACACAATTCCTCGATAAACATTTAACTCATATCTCACACAAAACAACAACAACAAACACCACTCGTAAAGAGATCCAAATACCACACCACATAAATAAATTTAATTAAATAAACAAAAGTATTCAAAAAAACACCAAAACAAACTATTATTTCCTCTCAAACAAAAAAATTCACACACAAAAACAACAACAGCAACACACGCCGCAAACATTCCATCTTCATGCAAACACACGCACACTTCCATACACCTCCACACATTTGTTGTTTGTTTTTCTTCTTCTCTTCTCTTCTGGCCTGTCAACACCTGTTTTTCTTATTGGAGTAACAGAGAGCACAATAGAATTCACTCACGAAGCAATTTGCAAAATGCACACGGGAGAACAACGAAACGCAAAGAAATGGAAGAATAAAGTAAAAATAAGAAAAAAACAAATCAACATTGGCATTTTTCGACACAAATTGTTTTCAGTTTTTTACATAATTCATTGGATATTTTGCGGGCATTTCAATGAAATTAGAATCGGTGGAGTTTGTAGTTCACACTAACCTGATTGGAAATTCAAAAAGATGATTGGAAATAACACAAAACACTTAAAAATTCGAAGACCGTCGCGAGAACAAAACATTTTATCGGCCATTTTCACACAAAACTAGTGATGACAGGCGACAAACGATGACAGTTGGATACGGTGTGTTATCGATAACTGATTTGGCTCCAATTGCTTGGTGGGGAGAACGGAATGTAGAGTTGTATTTTATAATATTTGAAATGGGAAAAATTGAATTTTATGTTTTTTTTTTCTCGAAAAGTTTTGAAACCATTTGGAGGGTGGTTTTATAGGCAAGCTGAAACAAGAACGAGTTAGTTGAGCCATTTATAGATGAGTTGAAGGGAGTATTTATAGGCCAACTGGAGCAGCGAGTCTGTAGAAGAGATGAATGAAGTCTCTGCAGAGGACTTGAAGGTGAATTTTTGGACGAAGAAGAACTGAAGGCAGCCTTTATTGATGAACTATTGGGTGTATTTATAGGTAAGCTTTAATAGACGGTCTTAAAGGAGTATTTTGTAGACAAGCTCTGAAAGTTTTTTAGACGAGATTTGAAGGAAGTCTTTATAGACGAGCTCTGAATGGAATCTTTCTTTCATGGAATTCAACGCAGATTATCAAGGAAGTGATGGAGAGTGTTTATAAATGAGCTGAATTGAGTCTTTCATAGTCGAGCTGGTGGGAGTCTTCATAAACGAGCTATGAGGGAGTCCTTATAAACGAGCTCGGAAGAAGACTTTTATAGACGAGATGAAGCAGGAAGTTTTTACAGACAATCTGAATGAAGTCTTCATAGACGAGCTGAAAAGAGTTTTTATGCAGGATTTTAAAGGAGTCTTTACGGACAAATTAAAGGTAATGTTTATAGAATTCCAGTGAGTCTTCATAGACAAGTTTAATCTCAGGGAATATTTACAGACGAGCTGAATACAAGGATGATATGGTAGGACATCTGTATAGACAAATTGAAAGCCGAGGGTCTTTATAGACGAACATAATGGTTTCTTTTTAGGCGAACTAAAGCAGGAAGTCATTATAGACAAGTTGAAGGCTTGGGTGTCCTTAAAGACGAACTGAAGGCCAGAGAGCCTTTGCACATCATGAACTACTTTGGACTTTAGAGTCCGCGACTTTATTGCCTTAAAGTCCGTTTGGCTCTTGGCATAATAGTCACCGGTCCTAGGTTATTTCTAATAATTTGTTGGGCTAGTTAAGGCACATTCCTGATTCCTATGGCGAATTGCAGCTGGAAGTGTATTCATAGACAATCTCAAGTTAGAGAAGCTCGTATATTCTTTATTAAAAAAAACAGAAGCTTCGGCTGTATTTATAGAAGTCTATAAAGTCTCACAGACGAGTAAATCATCGACCAAAGGCCGAGTGTGTGAACTTCTCAAATTGTCCATAGTAGAATTTTAGAAGCCAAATTGGCGAAAAGTTTTGATTTCTTCCAAAAGAAAAAATTGTTGTAAACAGACATTTAACTTATTCTTGAATTTATTATTTTTAAGGAATAATTTTAAGCTAGAAGCTTGGGTTATTTCAAGTAGAAACCACCACCATTAACCGGAAATCGGATCCATAAACATGTCATTCTGTAACCTATACTATATCTTCCACTTGGTCAGATATATAGTGGTTTCTAACAATGGGATAAAATTATTTAAATCAATTAAAAGCAAATATAAATAGGACACCCGTCGATTATTTAGATAAATATATGATAAACTTGTTGTTGTTGTAGCAGTTTATATGAATTGTATATTTCCTGTTAAGTTTCCTCCAGTTCTGCCTCCAGATTTAGAAATGCAGCTACCTCCACTGGCTGTAACCACAGATCCTCCGGACTAAGGTGAGTAGATTTGGCTGGGCAATTGAACAAGTGCAGTGTGGTATGAGGGCCTGTACCACATGCTGGGCAGACATCCTGCACCTGGTCATCAATCCGTGCCCAATACAAATTGAGCCGACTGCACCATCCAGAACGTAACTGAGCCAAAACTACTCTGGTTTGTCTGGGCAGCTGACGTTCCTCAGCTGCAATGAGTGGGGGTGAGCTCCGAGGACGGCATTCACTTTGTAACCATTCAGCGCTGCGGCTACTGCATCTGTATGAATGCCATTCAGACCTGCAACTTAATCTAGAGGTTCCCTTTTGTATCGTTGGACCTCTCTCTCTAGATCATGCAGATCCTTCCTGACACACCTGGGTGGGGGAGTCCTATCCACCATATGATGGTTGGGATGATCGTCCCTGAAACACCCGAGCAGGTACTGCAACGAAAGCATATTGCTATGCTGGCGTACGGGAAGGATCTTCGTCTCCTCATAAAGATGGTCCACTGGTGTCATGAGGAGGCACCCTGTCGCTGTCCTCAGGGCGGCATTCTGATAGGTCTGAATATTTCTCCATTGTGTATCACTGGAATTCGCAGACCACAATGGAACCGCATAGCTAGCCACAGACCGACCTATCACTTGGTAAGTGGTCAACAAGGTTTCCTTATCTGCGCCCCAAGTGCTGCCGGCAAGCGACTTGAGGACCTAGTTTCTACTTTTCAGCTTATCGCACATAGCTGTGGTTTGCGCGGACGACTTGAACATGCTGTCGAATGTGACCCCGAGTATTTTAGGGTAGTTAGTGGTCGGGATTATAACTGGGTTGGCAGCCGATGGCCAAATAAATCGGGTCAATCCGGTATCGTAGAACCCGCCGCCGTGGGATTGCTATATATTTGTATATGATAAACATGGGGGGTTTGGTGCACCATTTACTTAAAATCGGACGGAAATATATATAAAATATACATCAACCATATTTTGAGTTCTTGGTGCATCATTTACTGAACCGATTTCAAAAAAAACTTTCCACACCATTGATTACATTAACTTCAGTACGTTGTGCAAAATTTTGTGTTAATCGGCCTAAGTTCAGGTCTTTGATGCACCATTTACATAAAATCGGACGAAACTATATCTGGGAGGTATATCTAAATCTGAACCGATTCCTACAAAACTTGGCAAACATTAGGCAATACTTATTTAAGTATGTTGTGCCAACATTTTGTAGCAAACTGCCTAACTTTGGGTCTTTGGTCACCTTTTACTTAAAATCGGACGAAACTATATACTCGTATAGTAGCTATATCTAAATCTGAACCTGCCAAGCACCTGGGGAGTTTGGTGTAGCATTTATATCTAACTTATTGGTTATACTAACTTCAGTACGTTGTGGAAAATTTTGTGTAACGCACGAAAATATATATGTAGAAGCTATAACTAAATCTGAACGGATTTCAACGAGATTAATTTATACATTTATTAATTTATACGTAGGGTAATGCCCCCATATAAGAGTATCCCCCAAATTTCGGAATTGCGAGGGTTTCGGACACATTTTTCATCCGAATAAACTTTAGTTGGATATGTTGTGTTGTCATTGGGTGTCAAATCTTTTACCGAAAATTATTAATATCAGTTTGAATACACCCTCCAAATAAATAGAGATCCCGAACCATTATAAGTATTTTGATAGTCCTAGGTAATATACATTTTGTTTCGACAAAACTGTGCTGTCAGACACCTTCACCGTGAAAAGGACAAAGTGAATTCTCAGTACTTTTCAGATAACCTATTGCCTCTGAGCCTTTTCCTCTCAATTTTTTAAGAGGCAATAACCCGTTAAAATCGTAGTTTGAATTTTAACGATGAAACATTTAGGTTCGATTATTTTTAAAAACTGATCAATTACATTTCTAAGGGGGATCTACAAACACACATATTTTTATAAAAAAAACACGTCATTCTCATGAGACCAACTCAATGCATTTAGATTAATTATTGGCAGTCAACGAAGAGAGCCCACTAACAACGCAGTTCGATAAACAACAACAAACCAAAAACACTTTCTTATGGCCAATAAGAAAGAAATTGAAATATTAATGGTGGGCCTGGATAATGCAGGCAAAACTAGACTACACTATACCCTCAAAGAGGGTCCCATGGTTAATCTAATAACCACATTGGGTTATAATGTTGAAACTATCGAATATAAGGGACAACAATATACCATTTACGAAATTGGTGGCCTCAATACCGTACGAATCTTACGGAATTTTTATACTGAAAATAAATCAATTGTTATTTATGTCGTTGATGTGGCCGATAAGGAACGTTATGCAGAAGCCCAAGAAGATCTGCACAATGTATTTGAAACGAATGAGAATTTAAGTGATGCTATCTTATTGGTCTTGGGTAACAAAATTGATTTGTTACCGGCATTTGATGTCAATTGTTTGGTGGATATTTTAAAATTGCCAGATTTAAAACAAAAATGGAAATTGTTGGGAATTTCTACGCTGATGGATGGTCGTGATGAACTATGTAAAATATTTGATGTTATATTGGAAATGTTACCAAGTGAAAATTGTCATGTTGATGCTGAATAATATAATTTATTTTTTAACTTTTTTTATACAAAACAATAACAACAAAATTTGTTTTATAAGAAAGCCGTTGGTAAGTAAATTCTTCGTATAGAGCTAATGCTGGAATAGAATACTATGAAGAGACGTCAATCGATGGTCAATAGCTGTATAAAGGTATTTGACTTCGAAAGAGAGCTCCAATTGACTCAAATTGGCCATCCAATTTTGTTTTGGCAGTACGTTGTCTTACAGACCCCTCAAAATGCAATTAGCTTCTACAATAACATGTATTTCACTATATTCTGGGTACCAAAAATATTTAGTTATGCAGAGCAACTTCACAGTCATGAACTAGAATGGATAAATAAGTAAGTATAATTATTGAGTCTTCTTCTTTCTATAATAAAGACTAGAATGGATAGTAACCGACTTGACAGCATGGCTGTGCCCATAATAATGGCCGGTCCTTGGTTGTTTATATTAAGGGAACCCCCCCCCCCATTCTCGATTTTTTATTTTTAAGATTTTAAATGGGCTGGTAAATGAATACCAATGCTTGTTAAGGTTTGTAACTTGGCACATATATATTTGAAGATTTAAAAAGGAAGAAAAATAATTTACCAAAATTTGTTGTTGTTGTTTTGTTGTCGTTTTTTGGGTTCAAAGAAAAGTCCATATTTTCGATGGCGGGCATGATAACTCCTCACTGGAACATCGGAATCCGAAAATTCCAACTGTGTTAGAAAGAGGACATGTCTGGCTCTCGTATGAACTAGGATTATTGACTTCGCACAACAATTAACAAAATGGCGGAACTTTGAAAATTTTTTTATGGAAAATCGCCTATTTTTTACCACAAACTAAGTTAAAAAATAAAGAAGATCTTCACCGATTGGCTTTATCCTAGTTCATACGAGAGCTACACACTCCCAGAGAAACGTGTCAAAATTTGAAACCGATTGGATTATTAGATTTTGAGTTATCGTGCCCGCCATTCGTTTTGTGAAAAACGCGTTTAAAGTTTAAGAAGCCCTTTAACCGTCACTTGATGCTGACACAATAAATCGGCTATATCTTCAAGAGTTCTTGAGATTTTCACGTGAAATTTTGTAGGAACATTCTAGAATTAGAGTAGATTCGAATTAAATCAAAAAAAATTTTGACACCGAGAATGGGGGGGGGGTCCCCTTAAGTTCTTGGAATAGTTAATTGTATTCGTGATTGGTAAGTCATTATAGAAGACGCTCCGGGAGTGTTTATAGACGAACTGAAGCTTTATAAGTCTACTTAGAGAAGCTGTACAGATTCCCACAAGGACGTAGGATCTGGTTTTAAGTCTAAATTCAGACGAATTTAGAGCCTTAGGATTAGGAGTTGCCGGCAAAAGCAACAACTACAACACATACGAAATATACGGACAACACCACAAGTATACGTTTTATACTCACGTGATGGTGCGCACAAATAAATAAAAAAGGAGAAAACGGTTCACTGTTTTGATTATTGAAAATGCTGTCAGGCGACAGATTTATTGATTGGATTTGGGTAGTTGGGGGTTTTACAAAAATAAGGATCAGGACGATCTTTTTTGTTGCACTACTTTTTCAAGAGTGATTAGTGATGGGCGGAAATCGATTATGTTCCCCTTTATGAGATGGGAGGACGCCGATGACTACAGGTCCAACTCGATGAGGTCGTCATCGGTGTCCATCGGTGTGGTACCCACGTACGGCTTGATGGCTGTGCGGCCATCAACAGAAGCTGAAGATCGGGTAATCTTTTTAGAGGAGCTAAAGTTTGGATTCTTTTTAGAGGAGCTACAGTTTGGGCGTCTTTTTAGAGGAACTGAAGAGGGGGAGTCTGGTTATAATAGGCTACTCAAAAATTGTTCATTACAAAATCCAATCCTTGCAGTAATAGATTTTTTCAAAAACCATGTTTAGGAACCTAATATTTATTGATAATATTTATGAAATAAGCCACGCTGGACCACGCTGATATAGTTTGTAAAAATTGCCCACAACTCAAGTGAAAACGTTGTTAAGATCGGCCGGGCCGAACTCTTTTTATACACTCCACCATGAACAAGGTGGGCATTAGAAATACCCTCTGGCGATGGTCATAGGTAAATATAATTATCAGAAATGAATTTCTCGACACCAAAAAGCCCCCATATTAAAAAAAATCCACACCTACAGTTTCAATGGTCTCTGAGGAAATAATTCACGCCAAAATCCGCAATGGTCCCTGAAGAAATACAAAATTCTAACCTAGAATCCAAATGATCTTTAAAAATTTTTCTTGTAAAAATCCATGCTGCGCTCCAAAGAAGTATAAAAATCAAATACTATCAGCCTCTAAAGAAATATTGTTTAAAAATTCACAACTAGAGCCCTAATTGTCTTTTGAGAAATATTCTTTAACAGAAATACACTCCTAGAGCCCTAACAGCCTCTGAAGACATTTTCTATAAAAAATCTACACCTAAAAAATAATATTATTTAAAAAATCACCCCTGGAAATATTGCTACCTAGAAGTCCAATAATCCCAGCAGTATCTGATTTTTATCTGAAATTTTCTTTAAAAAACCAAGCCTCGAGCCTGAAAAATGTTTTTTTAAAAATTACCCCTAGAGCCAAGATAGTCTCCGAAAAAATGTTCTCTAAAAAATCACCCCTAGAGCTAAAATAGTATCTGAAAACATGTTCATTAAATATCCCCACCTAGAAGTCCAATAATCCCTGATGGAATATTATTTTAAAAATCAACGCCTAAAGGCCCAATAATCCCTGACAAAATATTCTTTTTTAATGCACACTAGACCCCAAATAGCCTTTGAAGAAATATTCATAAAAATCACCCCCGGAGCCAAAATAGTCTCCGAAGAAATGTTTTTTAAAAATCCCCACATAGAGGCCCAATAATCGCCGATGAAATATTCTTTAAAAAATCGACGCCTAGAGGCCCAATAACCCCTGATGAAATATTCTTTAAAAAATCCACGTCTAGAGCCCAAATGGGCTCTTAAGAAATATTCTTTAAAAAATCCATGCATAGACCCCGGCAGTATCTGAAGAAATGTTCTTTATAAATCCACGTATAGAGCCCTAATAGAATCTGATGAAATATTGTTTAAAAATCCACGCCTTGAGCCTAAATAGCCCTAGAAGAAATATTCTTTAAAAAATCCACGCATAGACCCCGGCAGTATCTGAAGAAATTTTCTTTATAAATCCACGTATAGAGCCCTAATAGAATCTGATGAAATATTGTTTAAAAATCCACGCCTTGACCCCTAATAGAATCAGATAAAACATTGTTTAAAAATCCACGCCTTGAGACCAAATAGCCCTAGAAGAAATATTCTTTAAAAAATACACGTCTAGAGCCCTAATAGCCTTTGAAGAAATATATTTTTTAATCTATGCCAAAGCCTCAATGATTCGTTCATAAAATCACCCCTAGAGCCAAAATATAAGAATATCCTCTCCTAGAGGCCCAATAGTCCCTGAAAAAATATTTTTTTTTTTCTAATCGAAGCCTCGAGCAGTAATGGTCCTGAAGAATTATTACTTTAAAAATCCTCTCCTAGAAGCACAATAGTTCCTGAAGAGATATTATTAAGAATATGATATTCTTTACAAAATCCATGCCTAGGTCCCTATTAATCCATGATTTTGGTTCCTAAGAAATATGAAATGTTCTTAAAAAAAACATGCATAGAGCCTTATTGGTCCCTAAAGAAATACTAATCAAATATACACGCATGAAGGCCCAATCGTTCTTAAAGAAATATGCTTTAAAAAATGCTCACCTATTTCTCCAATAGGCCTTAAAGAAATTATTATTTAAATGTCAAAGGACAGATTCTTCATGACCACGCTTCGAAGTCGAATACTCCTTGAATAAATAATCTTTAATACATACATGTTTATAGCTTGAGCGGTCTATTAAAAATTGGCTTTGAGCTTATAGTCAGGATATAATTTAGAAAACATGTTCATTTAAAATCTAAACTTAGCTATCGTGTGTTCGAAAAAATGTACTACACCCGAAGTGCTTCATAATAACCCCATGGATATCTACAGCAATATTCTAAACTATCAGTCTTAATATTCAATACTCATCGAATTAGATCTCAAACAATTGGGATGGCATCTTATAAGAATGAAATATTTAATTGGAGATCCTGCTTTGTTTCAACTGGGCTACAACTTCGTACGACTGCTTCATTTTGAATTTTTTTATTGCACTGATATTTAATTTGTTAGTTGACCGTAAGATCAGAATCTTCAAAGTTTGCATAAATCTAATAATAGTCCCTCCTTTTCTTCCTCTTCTCCAAATCGTTTTTTCATTTCAATCACTTTCAACAAATGCCACCTTCATAGAACATTTTCCAATCACATCATCACCATGCACATGTTAATTTTTGTTGATTTTCAAAACATTTCTCGTTGTTTTTGTTTTTTCAACTTTTTTATTGTTTTATACGAAACACACGCATCATCACACTTAAAAACCAATAATTTCTTTTTAAAAAATAAAGAAATTCTCCCTTCTATGATTTTCGCATATCAGGAGGACAGGAGTGGTATTTTTTGTTTTACATCAAAGTTCCAAGAGTTTTTTTTTGATTTACTTCTTGGATTTGCCGGTAGCTTTTTGGGCGGGTTTCTTGGCGGCCGACTTGCCAGCGGTCTTGGCGCCAGCGGATTTAGTGGGCTTCTTCTCGGCAACCTTGGTGGGTTTGACGGGCTTGACCAAGCTTTCGCGTTGGCTCTTCAAAGCCTTGACGATCTTTTGTTCTTCGATCAAGAAGGCACGAACGATGCGTTCGCGCAAGCAACGATGGCAGAGGACACCACCATAGGTACGGGCGACAGTCTTCAAACGCTTGGACATACGGCTACGTTCGCATGGGCGAGAGGGTTGGATGCCCTTCAACTTCTCTTTACATTGACCGCACTTTGGGACAGTCTTGTTCTTCTTGACATATTGGTAGACCAAACGACCGCCAGGGGTACGGACACTAAAAACAAAATGTAAACATTAGAATTAAAAATTCTCAACACTACGAAGGGAAGGCCAATCAGGAGGAGCATGGAAACGTATCCCCTTCCTGACTGACCATTTCCCTCCCTTCTTCACTCATTTTTGTTTGTTTACTTACATACGTCTCCTGTTGGATTTGGTGTTGTAGGACAGACGTCTTCTCAAAGTCAAACGTTGAACCATTTTGTCGGCTAAAGGGGCAATCAACGACAGCAACAAATTCAAGGTATTCCAAACAATTCCGGTAGCATCATTCATCCAAGGCAGCAATCAAAACATTCCATTTTGTTGTTGTCAACATCACATCGGCACAATCAAAATTGTCGGCGAAAAATTAAAAGAAAAACACAAAGAATTTCAAATTAGTTTCATTGTTTCACACATTTCGAAATGTCTTTTATTAATATCACAGCACTATATTCATGATTTAGTTTGTTTTATTTTGATTTTTCATGATTTTTTTAACATTCACAAATTTTTTCAGTACGCATACCTTCAAGAAAAAAACTAGAAAGGAAGTTGTCGGTATTGCCGTTAACCGACGAGAAGTTGGCTGCAGCATTTGACAGCTGTCAGTGTCATTTTTTCGTCAATTGTCGATAAAACTGTGGCGCAAGAGATGTATTTTTTATTGGGTTAGGGATTGCAATAATAGATTTAGGTTATAAATTTAAAAACTAATATTTTTTTTAAATTAAAAAAATGTTTATAAATATTAACGTCAGCGCTATTAAACCAGCGTAGCCAGCATTACTTTGGGATAAATTAAAAGTATCTCTTAGTTGACATATATTCAATGGCATTGGAAACCTAAGCGACCGTTTTATTAAACCAGATATTTAATGTTTAATTTAGCGTATATTTTATATAAATTACACTAAAATGCATCATGACTGAATCGGCATGTATAAAATATTTTTTGACGAAGCCTGTTTTTTGACTAATAATCATTAACTATTGGTCTGTTCCATGGCCCAAACATCAGGTCATACAGAAGGCAAATTCCTACAAAGATACAACCCTACATCTACAATTATGGTAAAACATTTTTGCTGTGGCGAAAATGTCTTTTAGAACATTTCGTTTATTTTATATATTTGTTCAACGCGAACGACAAAGTTAGCATCCAGCACCATTTATTTGTTTTTAACACAATTTGATATACTATTCTAGCATTTTTACACATTTGTTTTTGACATTGAAAAATTATTTTACATTCTTTTGATAGATAAAAATGTAATTTTAAGTCAGTAGTCACACGGGCAAATTTTGTGGTAAAGTAAATTGAGTTTATGGGCGAAAGAGGTGAGAGGAATAAAAGGGGGTACATACATACTTGTACTCCGCAATTCTCTTTTGTTTCGTTATTCGTTGTAAACAACTGAAGTTGGCTGCAGAAAAGTTTTGCATTTTCTTTCATTTTATTTTTTCTGTCCGCAAACAAACGTCAAGGCAGTTATTAAAATTAAAACCTTTTGCGAGAAAAAAACTACATAACAGGTCTTCATTCTACGGCTATAGCTTCTTCGAGTAATTCAAAACTTCCTTTTATAATTAAGTTTTTTTCTTTTAATTTCATTTTTTAATTTTCATGAACAATGGTCAAACGAGAAAATGAGTGTGTGGAAGAATAAGAAAATTCATAAATTTAATGCAAGGGTTATTTGCGTGTCTAAACAACAATGCAATTTTTAAAGAAATTGAGAAGAAAATTTGTCATGAAATTTTGCACGTGTGACTACTGACTAATTAGAAATTAAATATTTTGACAAAACATATATGGTGTGTTCCCGTACCTCAAGAATCTACACGATTTTACTATTTTCTTCAATATAATAAAGGAAAATTCGTTATCGTAGTAAAAAGTGGTAGATTCTTGCAGTACGGGAACAGACCAGTAGATCGCAGCTGGCCCAAGGTGTATTTAATAAGGTGTAAGTGACAATCATATGGTTTTAAACTTTTTTATTTATTGTCTGTGAAGTAAATTTTCAAAAACATTTTCAATAATACATTTCGATTTCAAAAATGGTCTTTAAATTTAGTGTTTTTTTAATAATAATAATAACTCAAGAAAACTACATTCATAGAGGGGGACGGAAAGGAAACTTAGGCTCAGTTATAACCCGGTTCGCCAATTATGTTATGTGTGGGAATCTGTCCAGAAATCCTAGCTACTCATAAAATCGAGGAGATTATGTTAGCCTATATTGGAATCGGCCGCTTGGTGCTTGTCACAATTTTCGGTGGAGTTTAAATACGCCTATGGAAATATTTTATACGGTCAAGACAATTTCCATGATTTAGTCCTTGGCCGGGGATTTATGTCCTTCAATTTTCTTTAACCCTACGTTCAATAACCGGGTACATTAGTACCTTTTTTTGAATAAAAATGCTGTAAAAAATTTAATTTATTTATTTATTTATTTATTATAGTATTAACATTATAGTAAATACAATGCTAATAATAAAAGTATCTAGCATTGGCTACAATGGCCATCAGCTAAATCGGTTGACAATTCTTAATAATTTTATTAAATAGTAATTTTAAGATGACGTATGTAGGTTAATATCTTATTAATATTGACAGTAGTAGGTGATATTAAAATATTCGTTCCATCGTTGTTGAGGTAGTTGAGGCGGGCTCTGTCGAAAGCGTTGCATGTTTCTAAAATATGTTGTGCTGTGTAGACATTTCCACATTTGGGACACTTGTTGTCAAAACTTGTGTTAATGAGATGTTGGTGTGTGGCAATAGTATGACCCATTCGAAGTCTCGAAAATATGCGCACTTGCTTTTTAGGTACATTGGTAGGATAGACGGGCACTATGCAGTTAGGATTTATTTTGTCATAGTGCACATGGTCAAATAACATGTGTTGTTGTTTAGCATTTTGTTTAAGTTTGTGTTTTATAAATGTTTTTAAATCTATTTTTTCGATTATTCCATCTAACAACACTGGAGCGGTGCAGGCGTACTTTGCTGCTTTATCGGCGTTTTCGTTTCCTTCAATTCCAACGTGACCAGGTACCCAGAAAAGTTTTATGTAGTTGTTCTCGGTTAGCAAATCCCGAATTTTGTTAATTGAAGCCCAACTGTTGTTTGATGTACATAACACCGATTTTAGAACCGATAAACTGTCGGAAGTAATTATTGTTTCTTGTTGTGAATGGATTGCAATATTGATAGCTTCTATAATGCCAGCAGCTTCGGCCGTGAAGATAGATGAAAAATCAGCAAGGGTTTTAATGGATAGAGTATCGCCATTGGAATCAACAACTGCGTATGCGGAGACTGAGTTTGTTTTAGAGGCATCAGTGTATAAGAACTGCCAAGACGAGTGCTGCAAGGAAAAAAATCGAAAATGGTGTGCGTATATTTCGTTTGAAGTTCCATTTTTTCCTAGAATGCTGAGAGATGTATCGCACGATTTGTCCGAAAAAAGCCATGAAGGGCATTTAGGTTTAAAACATGTAACCTTATCCCTAAAGTTTACTATGTTATTCCTAATAGAATAGTAAACAACTGATGTTTTTTTAGGTTTTCGGTTTGTTTTTAAAATTTTCGATACATCAGTGTTAATAACGGAAGACTTGGATGACAGGATTTTAGGCAGTAACATATTCCTAGACTCGAGAATTCTATGCTCGAGAGAAGGCAATCCAGATTCAATCAGTAAGGTTTTGATGGGAGTAGTTCTATATGCGTATGTGCTGGCCCTGATGCTATCGTGGTATACGGCTTTAATAAGTTTCAAAGTTGAAACAGGACTGTCCCCAAAAAGGTACAAACCGTAGTCAATTTTGCTTAGCACCAATGTCTTTACCAAGTAAGTAAGGGTGTTGATGTGGGCGAAACTTTTATGTGAAAGGTACTTTATAATGTTTAAACGGGGTATAAGGTCCTTTTTTAATTTAAGTATGTGTTCGTTCCACCGATAGTTTTTTTAAAAAATTACACCCAGGATCTTAAGCTTCTTGACGTAGGGAATGCTAACACCGTTGATTATTATGTTGGTGGGTTTACAGCTATGCTTCCGACATATATGTAGAATTGAAGATTTTGTAGGAGAGATTTTGGCACCAGATGTTTTGGCCCAAGTGTTGATATCATTTATAATGTTAGAAAATTGAATGTTGGCAGCATCGTTATCTTTATTCGAGCTCAGAATGTATAGGTCGTCAGCGTAGAGGCAATGATATATTTTAGGATATTTGTTTATGATGTTGCTGATTTGGTTAAAGGCTATTTGAAAAAGCACTACCGACAGTGGTGACCCTTTAATTTAATTTAATAATGGAGATATTTGTATCAAATTTTGAGGAATCATTCTTGAGGTATGTTCACACATAATCGAAGAAAAAAATTATAAATATTTTCCATATATATAATTTTTACATTTTTTTTAAAGTTATTACCTACGTAGATCAATAACCGTGGTACATTTGTACCCATCCAAAGATAGCTCTGTAACTCATTAAAAAAGTGGACTGTCGTGAGGTTTTTTGTTTTAAATTAGTCTATGCGGATCTGGTCTAGATGTAGGAACTCAAAATTATATATACATTAAAATAATATATATTTAAATCCATGTTTAAATGATAATCTATCTAAAACAATCATAGTAAATTCGTTATAGCTTTCGAATGGGTTAAGCTTTTTTAGCTATTTTTTTATTGGGATCTTATTTAGGTGTTCCTCAACAAGTTTACAAAGAGAACGCCATTTTGTTTTGTGTTCTCTTCAATTCGGTTCAAAATTAATGAATGATTGAAATACATCGAATTGTCGTGGATAAATCAAGAAGTTTACCCAGTAACATTCAGTAAGTTCTCAGCGTAGAACTAACTAGCGCTCTCTTTCCTTTATTGGACTTTGGAGTAAACAGAAAACATTCAGTAACAATTGTTACCAAATATCGAGTAACCAGACACAGTTATTATTATCCCATGTAGTTTGAAGTATAAACCATTATTTCCATTGTGGGCTGTAAAATATTACAACCTTGCCTGCATGCGGTTGCTGACCATTTTTATTCGATGGTAGACTGAAGGAGATTTTACTGAAGCAATTTTTCCTGTTATTCAATTCGTCGTGTGGATTGGCATCGAATGTTATGTCACCAGATAACATCAATTCATTTTAGATTCCGTATGAATCACAAATTTCCTTGAAAACGGCCAACGCAAACTCACCGTAGCGACAAATTCACAATTGACCTGACTTCTTGATTTGGAACTGCATAAAGCTCTGGCCATTTGCTGAAGTAATCTATAAGCACATTTACATACAACAAAAATTCAGGATTTAGGGCTGTTGCGTCATTTACCATATCAACGTCATTACACCAGTCGCTCGGTGCACTTAAATTAAATATTAAATTTAAGTATCAAAGTTCATAAATGAACTTAAAAAACAAAATATATCATCGGATATCCCAACATTTCATTTTATGGAGTCAAGCGATATGTGCGGCTGAAATGTTTTTGTCTTTTTCATATGATTTTTAATTTGAAAAACCCCGAAAATACGTATTTAAGGAAATAAAAAATTTTGTTTTTGCATAATAGTCAGGCTGAATCCCAGTTTGTTGTTTTTGTAAAAAAAACAACTATTTATTAGTGGGGAATGTATGGCATTGTTTGCCGAGGGGTAAGGCAGGGAAGACTATAGTTTCGGATCACGCCACTGAACTTTAAGTTTTTTTGTTGAGATATTCTCCCCAGAAGCTATTGCTTCTATACAAAAAACCTTTCATACCCAAATGTCTCTTGTAACAAAGCGAAGTACTTAGCTGACCAACGACATAAACTGCACGAGAATTTCGCTGGAGCCTCACTTCGAGGTTAACAAGGCATTTACAAACAATACCACACCTTTCCCACTGTTAACCTCGAAGTGAGGCTCCAGCGAAATTCCCGTGCAGTTTTTGTCGTTGGTCAGCTAAGTACTTCGCTTTGTTACAAGAGACAACCCAGAGACTTCGCTTTGTTACAAGAGACAACCCACAAATTAGTAGATTCTTTTAGGTTCTGGAACGGAACTATCTTACCCAATAAAGCCGTGATTAAATTTATTCAGTAACGTGGATACAGACCACAAAATCTATTTTACCAGAATTTTAATAAAATTTTCTAAGAGTTTTAAACAATTGCGACCATGGTACAATTATATAAGGTAACAGCAGATCCCAGCTGATTTGATTCCAACGTAATACTAGTGTCAATATGAATTTTACAAATTATGTTTTTAAAAATCACCCAACAGGAAAAATGGGAACTCATACAATTTGAAATTGTTCTTTATTATATGCCTGCCTGCTGGGAAAGTTTGAGGAAGCAAATCTTTCTTCATGGAATAACTCGCAATTCCCTGCATTTTAATATGTGTTACACATATAAGTGGCAATGGCAATTATAGGAAAGATGTGGAAGCGATAGAAACATAAATTTGATAGATTTTCATTCATGTTTTTCAAATTTTATGTTGAGGATTCGAAAATATTTCATTTTCAAAATAAATATAATTTATTTGTTAGTTTACATTTTTCTGTCAAATGACGTTGACACTAGTATAACTTACAAAAACAAATTTCCATGTGGTTGTTGTACAACAACACTTGCTGTTACCTTCTATTATTATACCATGGATATAAACATTGATTTTATACCTGCCCGGATTCCTTATTGTTATATAACAAATATAATTAATCGTCTAATTCTGTTCAGGTTGTTCTCTCCTTCAACTGTCCATTGAAAAAAGTTTAAAATTCTTTCGAAAACCGACAGCTATCCTTGATATTGACCACCGTCGACCGATCTTCAGATATCGGCTTTTACATTGACAATTAAAAGGGAAACATTTCAAAATCGCTCTCAGAGTACAAACTAATTTGAAAAGTTCAGGAACGGAAATCTAGTAAATATGCCAAAATTATATGGCAAAATTTCAAAATCAACATAACAGCCAATTACAAAGAGAACGCCATTTTGTTTTGTGCTCTCTTAAATTTGATTCAATGTTTTACCAGTTTTGTGGGTTGAGGAAGGGTTTCGAGTAAAAAGTTGCAAAACTTGTAAAATTAGTAGATTAGGTTCTATAATAATATCTCACCCAATAAAGCCGTTATTAAATTGATTCAGTAACTTGGATACAGACCACAAAATCTATTTTACCAGAATTTTAATAAAATTTTCTGAGAGTTTTAAACAATTGTTACAAAAATTAATGGTAACGAGCCTCGATATAGACGGAAGTTGAACTACACTGCACATCGTGTGTATAGGACTTAAGAATATCAGCATCGGTAATACAGTACCCTGCAGAAAAGTATTCTTATTAGAACGTTGTTATCGATTGTAATAAAAATCAATCGATGTTGAGACAAGCTATCGATAATTATTGGTCATCTCTAATTTGAAGAAAAATACAATTATCCCCATATATATTTAGAAGACGAGAAGAAAAATAAAAATCAAGAAAATTTTGCATTAAAATATTTGAACAAAATAAAAAAACAACTCACAATGTCATTGCTGGAGCAATATGAAAAGCAATATTCAATATTAATTGCCGAAATCACCAGTCAAATTGGCCGTTTAACACTGACAAATGAAGGCAAGGAACTGTGCAATAAAATCGATTCGAGCCTTACCGAGGCTCAGGAGCTGTTGGAACAAATGCAATTGGAGATACGGGATTTGGCACCGGCACAAAGAACCACAGCCACCAGCAAATTGAATTGTGCCCAAGTGGAATTGAAACGTCTGCAGGGTGAATATGCCAAGGCGAAAGAGACAAGCAGGAAGAAACAGGGAGCTCTAGATTTCCAAACAGCAGCTGGTGATTATGATGATTACGAGGATGTGGCCATTAGCAATGATCAACGCCAGCGGCTGCTGGAGAATTCCGAAACAATTGAACGAACGGGTAATCGCCTGCAGGAGGGTTATCGTGTCGTTATAGAAACCGAAACTTTGGGTGCTCAAATTCTCAGTGATCTCCATTCACAACGTGAAACCATACAGAATGCCCGTTCACGTTTAAGGGAAACCAATGCTGAACTGGGTCGGGCATCACGGACCTTGAACACAATGATGTTGCGGGCACTGCGCGAAAAGGCTGTCCTATATGTGGTGGGTGGTGTATTCGGGGTGGCCGTTGTTGTTAGTCTATATTTAACATTTTCATCACCCACCTCAACAACAAATTCATAAATTTTTGGGAATTTGCTAACAAAATAGAAAAAATTGAAGAAAACGAAAATATACTTTTGTTGTTGTAGCATATTTATTATTATTAATTGTTTTTGTTTTTTTTGTGTTTAGTTTTACAAAATATCCATTCCATTTTTATTTTTATTTATTAGGTTGTATTATATCTGTATCTGTATGTAGTTGATAGTTAATGCAAAAAATCTTGTATATCTAAATTTATATATAATCATGGCATACCGCCGGCCTATGCATATGTAATTTTGTTCTTTTTTTCTTAATCTATAAAAAAGTTTATAAATGTATTTTCATTATATATGTATATTAACAAAAGAAAAACACTAAAAAGAAAACGCCTTAGAAAATTATTAATGCATTGTTGTTGTTAATAAGTGGATTTTTGGTTAAGCAGTTTTGGGTGAGTTTGAAAGTTTTTTTTTATATACTGAGAAATTAAATTATTAAAATATATATTTTTTTGTAGAATATTTATTTTTTATATCGAACTAAATATTTGATAAAAAAATAAGTTTTTTCTAAACGATAGCATACTTCTTGGCGCATAGAAAGTAAAAAATTGTGCGGTATGTATATGAAAAGTGAGGACCTATCAACAAATCATATCGCAGAAGGTTCAATATTCTGATTAAAGCATCTTGAAACATGGTTTAAAACAATGTTTCTTGAAAATTATTAAAAAAAATCACACTACAGGAAGTTATAAAAAATAATTTTTAAAATCCACGTTACGGAAAGGTACTTAAAATATCCATGGTTCGAAAAAGTTTCTTGAAAATGTTTCTTGAAAATTATTAAAAAAAATCACACTACAGGAAGTTATAAAAAATCATTTTTAAAATCCACTTTACGGAAAGGTACTTAAAATATCCATGGTTCGAAAAAGTCCTTAATCAGAAAAACCATGCTTCGAGAAAGTTCTTGAAAAACATAATAAATCCATTTTTTTTTAAATTCCATGATTTAGGAATGTTCTTGAAAATGTTTTTTTAATCCAAGCTTTAAAAAAGTCCTTCATTTTTTTAAATTTACTCTTCAAGTAGTTTCATAAAAAATATTTTTTAATCCACGTAAAGGTTCTTGATTTTATATAAATCCAAACATTGGATAGGTTCTCGAAAAAATATTTTTTTAATCCCTGCTTACGTTCCTAAACAAATATTTTTTTTTAAATCCACCCTAAGGTTCTTAAAAAACCAAGCTTCCATAAGGTTTTAACAAATATATATATTTTTTAAAAATGCTCGCTTTGAGCTCTCTCTTCGAGAAAATTGTTATTATTATTTTTTTTTAATCCACACTTTGATTTTGTTTTTTTAAACCTCGCTTTGACAAAAGTTATTTTTTTAACCAGTGAGCAGAGCAGTATAGTCGGCCGACTATACGATACCCTACACAACTACCACGGAACTCTAACTTCCTGCGGATGTTTATTTATTATTTCGAGTCTGAGCAATATTTCGTGATATTTGCACCCTCTTAACCGATTAGAGATCAACATCACATTTTCCTTACACTGACATATTTTCCAAATATTCCCAATATTCAGTACAGCCTTTCTAATTACTTGTTCAGATTCCCTTCACTGTGTGTTTTGATGTTCGGCATGTGGCATATAGATCGACTCGAAAAAAGTTTTCGGTCTATTCCAACCAAAATTTTTTACGTGATCATCACCGATCATTATAGACGTTGTGCTTGACCATAACTGGAACCTCTTGGAATTTTTTAAAGCGATAAGCGCTTTATATCAGCCCTCTAGTGGGGTAATGGATTACTAAATAATATATGAATACGTAAGCACCTGTAAATATTTAAGTGAAACTCCCACATCCGACAATATAATTGATATCAATTTAAAGGTCAACCACTCTTCTTGAATATACTATCAACTTCTCGGGTCTATGTCCTTCAGGAATAAATATATACGCTATAGAATATAAATTTTGTAATATTTCACACAAAAGTCTGGATCCATTTGAACCACTAAATATTGACCGATCTTTATGAAAACAGACATGCTTATTCTTTGACCCAATCCCCTTCTCCTTGTAAATTTGCGATGTTTGGGCCATAATTGCCGGTCTCTGGAGCGATTAGAAAATCAGACAAAAAAGGTTTTGGTCCATTTCATCCCCTAAATATTAACCGATCTTTACCAAAAACAATAGGGGTCTTCATTGTCCCATTCTATGTACAAAATTTCGTGAAGATTGGTCCATAACTGTGGCCTGTATCGTGTTTACAAATCACACATGGACACACATGTCTAGATCGATTCAGCTAGTCGTGATATGACGATCGTATTACTTAAAGGTGGGTCTAGGGCTTATATTTCGCGGCGTTACAAACTCTTGGGGTTGCACAAAGTTTTAATATCGTGACAACATAGTTGTGTAGGGTATAAAAATCCATGCGTCCGGAAATTAATTGAAGATAATTTTTTAAAAAATCCTCGCTTCGGAAAAAAATTATTTTTCGGGAAAGTCATTGAAAAATAATTTTTTCAAAATCCACATTTCTTAAAAATCTACATTTCTTGAAAAAAAAATTTAAATCCACGTTTCTTAAAAAATTTATTTTTTTTAAATTGTGCTTCTTTAAAAAATGTATTTTTTTAATTCTTACTTCTTGAAAAAATATATTTTTTTAAATCCACTCCTATTGATTTTTTTAAATCCACGCTTCTTAAAAAATATTTTTTTATATTCAACCTTCGGGAAAAATTAATGTTTTTTAATACAAACAATGGAAAATATTTTGTTTTTTTTTTACCAAATTTTGGAAAAATGCTATTTTTTATAAGCCGCGCATCGGAAAATATATAAATTTTAATGGAACTCCCACGAATATTTCGAGGTATTGTAAACGTATAGTGTGTATTATTACACTTCTTGCTTTGATGTTTCATAAAAATATATTTTAAAAAATGTTTCCTCTTCTAGTTGCGATTTCTGCATACAATTAATTCTATACCCCCAAAAGTATGCTATAATTTAGATTTAATGAAATTAGGAGCTTGTATTCATTTAATATTTTCCGTGTAAAGTTAATCCAAAGACAAATAGTTTACAGTGCAATCTTAGAATAAGTCAAGTTCGATATTCTTCCTTTTTGACGTTATATTTTGTAGGTGGACTATTTTGATAAATTAAATTGGGTTCCAGACCCATAGTAGCTTATAGATATAATATGCTCGACAGTGGTTAAAAAGCAATCAAACATTTTGTTCTTATCTTCAAAAATTATAATTTTAGGAGCATGGCATTTACGTATCTACAGAACATTTAAGCTGAGTCTGTCGTATCGCAATGTTTTTTACTTATATCTAAATATTATTTAATGAGACATGTTTTTATAACTTATAAATATAAATGGACGTTTTATTATGTGTATCAAAAAGGGTTTATTAAAGAAACGAAACAAAAAGAAGGAAATGAAAACACCAATGAGTAATGTAAATAAGAATATGATTCATTTCGAAAACATATTTTTTGATGAAACATAAACAGATTACAAAACCATGAGAAAGTGAGCATTTATATATTCTTACTATAGAGAATATTGAAAATATACAGTCGACTCACGGTAATTTGAGTCGAAGGGACCAGAGGAGAAAAGCTAAGTTTCCTTGGTTTTAGGTTCAATAACTTCAAAATTATGTTAATCATAATGCTATGAGAACAAATAAATAATTTACAAAGTGGATACTAAGACAAAAAATGTGATATATTTCAAAAGATCGAATCCAAATAACCAAAATATGTTCACCATTATTGAGACATTTCAATATTGTTTTTCATATAAACTGTTTGTCTGGGCAGCAGAGTTGCTTAAAAAAGTTGCATGTATAACCCCAGACTTAGCACTTTTTCATTCAGCTATTTGGACACGAATATTGTGAAAACAAATTAGTAACTAAAAATAAGTTATTGAGACACTGATTAAATTAATTTTACAAAGGCGAATTCGAATAACCAAAAACCTTTACACAAAACTTGAAAATAAATCCATTCTTTAAATGCCAGGCATTTCATTCGTTGTTATTCTTTCAAGTTATTCGAATACGATTGTAATCCACAACTGGCCCATTACAATGGCTAACCATACACACACCGAAACATACTCATTAGTATGCCCTCCTTGCCATTGTCAACGCCACCATCTAACCAAACTCCAAATCAGCCATTTGCTAGCAAACACAATTCGTACTATCATCTGCATCATCGGCAACAGCATTGACAAGTTCCACTTGTCCGGCAACTATTTGAAATCCGTGCTGTTCCATACTGGCCTGCAGATCCATTTTCGAACGATTCGATTCGACCAATATTCGAGAAATATCTTGGAACATTTCCTCAATACCTTCACCGGTTTTACAGGATGTTTTATATGTGGCACTTATAAGACTATGGCATTGTTCACAGAATGCCTCCACGTCGGCATCACTCACCTCAGGTTCACGACCCTCTAAATCGGATTTATTTCCGCATATAAATATTTTAGCATTCTCCGCATAGGTAACAATATCGAGGAGATGCTGTGACAAGGAGTGAAAGGATGCGGCATTATCTAATGCAAAGACCAGTATAGCACCCTCGGCAAATTTATAATACGATGAGGTGACAGAGGCCACACGTTCCATACCACCGGTATCCCATAACTGGAGCTATGGGGAAGAAATGAAAAATTATCAGTCTGACACACCTTAATTATCTCTACCTTCTTAGTAACATACCTTAATTTGTTTATCATCCACCCGATAATCCTTTTCGATGTGATCCAAACCCAATGTCGATTTTCGATCCGTATTGGTTATGAAGGTATTATTGGTGAAACGCCGAAACAAAGAACTTTTTCCTACACCATATTCACCGCATAGAATTACCTTTTGTTTTGGTATCCTTACTTTGGCCATTGGAATTTTATTCGTTGAGATTTTTTTATTAGGTATCCGATATGCTTTGTTTTTCGGTAATAGAAACCCCTGGGTTTTGAGATTTTAGAATCTCAAAAATTAGTTACCTTTTAGTTAATAACTAAACGCTATATTTTTCTTAATTATTTATTAATAACCGTAGAGCAATTTTGTTTTCTTAATGACGGCTTTGTTGTTGTGGTTCCGAAATGGACCTGTTCAAATTGTTGGTAATTTGAAATGAACGATCGGAACTATTTTAAAGCAACTTGAATGAAAGAATTATGAGACTACTTTAGTTTATGTGGTTCAATATTTTAATAAGACAAGTCCAACGGCGTCTTTACTGAACAATTGTTTTTATATAGAGACCAATTGGTCTTTATAAAGACCTGTGGTCTCTATACAGACCAATTGGTCTTAATAATGACCTGTGGTCTCTATACAGACCAATTGTTCTTAATAATGACTTGTGGTCTCTATACAGACCAATTGGTTTTTATAAAGACCTGTGGTCTCTATACAGACCAATTGGACTTTATAAAGACCTGTGGTCTCTATACAGACCAATTGGACTTTATAAAGACCTGTGGTCTCTATACAGACCAATTGGTCTGTATAAAGACCTGTGGTCTCTATACATACCAATTGGTCTTTATAAAGACCTGTGGTCTCTATACAGACCAATTGGTCTTTATGAAGGCCTGTGGTCACTATACAGACCAATTGGTCTTTATAAAGACCTGTGGTCTATATGCACGCCAATTGGTCTTTATAAAAACCAATTGGACGTTGGGTCTCCAGACAGATCAATTGGTCTTAATAAAGACCGGTGGTCTTTATACAGACCAATTGGTCTTAATAAAGACTTCGAATATTTTTAAATATTTTATATGATTTATTCTTAATACAATTCTGTACATTTCCTTAAAATGTAATTCATGGCCCGGGGATTGTCCGCCGGTACAACATGACCGGCTTGATTAACCCAAAATAGTGTAAAATTACCACCACTTTTTTCATAACCTTCAATTCTGCCATCAATGCGTATGGGTAGACGTGGTGCTTTCAGATATTCCTCACGATGAGACCATTGTAATTTTTCTATCCAATTGATGGTACCGGGAGTGGCACAAATCAAATCCAATTGGCCCGTAAAAACGCTGACTTTTACATTGGTATTATTTAGAAGTTCACTAACTGTAATGGGAGAAGAAGAGCCAGCAGATCATTTATCATATGTTCCTCCTTTTTTTTGGGACTTACCAATATGAACAGCTGGCTTCATAATTTCCTCCTTTAGATGATAGAAAATATCCTCTTCATGTTGCCCCCATTTAATGTGTTGTGGTATGCCTAGGGCTAGACTGACACGTCTTCGCATAAAATCTTGCAACATGGCTTCGTGATCTGTGGCAAAGGGGTGAGAGGAAATTAGGTGAGTTTACATTTGTTTTATTTTTTCCTACCATCATCATCATTATCATATTTTAAAATATTATAGACATCCAGATTATCGGTTTCTTGAGTTATTAAATATCCAATAGTCGTTTCTACATCATCGGCTTCGGACCATTTTCCTTCGTTTACATATTTCATTGCTTGCTGGGCCTGTTCCATTATTTCATTGTGAGCCCTTCGATCAATCAGTCCCTAAAAAAGGAAAATGTATGGAGACCAGATGTCTTTATAAAGATCAATGGGCCAGTAAAGAGGCTACAGGTATTTGCAAACAAAATGTCCTTTATACTGAGGCCTCGGGTCTTATCGGGTCTCATTGGCATGTATACCATACGTCGTTTTTTATAGAATATCTATAGATGTGGTTGCACTTTTATTAGATAATTCGAGTCTCATTTTTATGGAAGACCTATACGGCCTGTTGTAGATGAGTATCAAGGTTCCAATACTTACCATATGAAATAGCAGTGGCGCCCTTGCCATTATGGAATCGATTGGTGAGGTCCATGGACCACCCATGGCAACAGATTTCAAATTACTTCTCACTTCACCACGTTCTATAGCCCTATATAACTCCAAAGCGAATTCCGGTGCCATTTTACCACCATAACTTTGTGTGAATATATGCAACGGCACTTCTTCAAATTCCCGATGACGTTCATAGAACACCTTTATGAATGCCAACAAATCCCGAGCAATTTCATTATTTGTAGAGGGTAGTAGGGTGATATTATCGACATAAGAGAAACCACTACCAAATGGACTATCAATAAAGAGGACATTCATTTGTTTCACCCATGTCCAATTACGTTCATTGCCGTGCATATCGATTGGTCCTAATTGATCGAAATTACCAAGACCAGTTGATGAAAGACCGGGACCACCTTGCAACCATATGGCAAGAGGGCGTTCTGTATAGTTCGCAACATCAGCTGTGGTATAGTATAGCCAATAGAACATGTGGGCACCCGGCCGTATATCCACATAACCCCAATCTTGGTCACCGGGTCCAAATCCAGTTTTAGCTGGAAAATGTGTGAAAAGAATTTAAAATTGTGGTAAAATATTTAGATGTATAATAACTTACCGGACACTTTGGTTATTAATAAACTAAATACGAGAAATAACTCCAGAAGCGGTTTGCTTTCCATCCCGTTCGTTCGGTAATTCATGTTCATATGTATGACATTGAAAAGAAAATATTAAAATACAATTTCTAATATTTTTTGGTATTACCCAGATGGCGAAAACAATTATCAATAACATTCCCAAGAGATTTGTTGTAGATCGCGCAAATTATCTGCACAATACATACAGTGAAAACGTAAACTATTGAACATCCACTATTGAAAATCTATATCTAATAAATAATTCCCTTTGCTTGCTTTAAAGATCATCTACAAAGATTCGTTCAAAAGCCCTTCTTCACCTCGTCTATAAAAACCCCCTTCAGTTCGTCTATACAGACTCCCTTCACCTCGTCTATAAAAACCCCCTTCAGCTCGTCTATACAGACTCCCTTCAGCTCGTCTATACAGACTCCCTTCAGCTCGTCTATACAGACTCCCTTCAGCTCGTCTATACAGACTCCCTTCAGCCCGTCTATACAGACTCCCTTCAGCTCGTCTATACAGACTCCCTTCAGAGCTCGCCTATACAGACTCCCTTCAGAGCTCGTCTATACAGACTCCCTTCAGAGATCGTCTATACAGACTCACTTCAGAGCTCATCTATAAAGACTCCCTTCAGAGCTCGTCTATAAAGACTCCCTTCAGAGCTCGTCTATAAAGACTCCCTTCAGAGCTCGTCTATAAAGACTCCCTTCAGAGCTCGTCTATACAGATTCCCTTCAGAGCTCGTCTATACAGACTCCCTTCAGAGCTCGTCTATAAATACACCCTTAGCTAGTCAAAAATACTTCCTACAGCTCGTCTATAAATACCTCCTGCAGCTCCTCTAAAATGTCTCTATGCAACTAGGTGGTGAGGACCGCCATATGGACCGGCTGAAATGTTTGAAATTTATTACAAAATAGCATTTGGCAAATATTTATGCAGAATTGCAAAACTACGCCCCTTAAATTAATTGCACCGGTCTCTTATCAGAACAAGGGCCGGTATGTGCATGCATATTTATGTAATTGATTTAAATAAAAAATAGAAATCGAAAACATAATTGTCTTATCATGAAAATATTGGTGGCTTCGCATAATTTTAATATGTGAAAGCAATACTACAGTTTAGTTTTTTTCCGGCTATGTGCCTTGGTTGTTTAAACCGTAGTTCCGCATATAAATCAATATGAAGTCTTATAGATTTTTATTTTTATTGTTAATAGCAGTTTTGTGTTGGAACTTAGTGTGTGGTAAGAGAATATTTTTTCTTTCCAAAAATACAATTTTTTATTTAAGGTTCATTGTTTTTTTTAGCTAAATCCGGCTATGGACCGGGTGAACAGGATTGGGGTTTCCTCGATGTACGCCCTGGAGGACATATGTTCTATTGGCTGTATTATACAGCAGCAGATGTTGCCAACTATACCGAACGTCCCTTGGCGCTGTGGCTACAAGGTGGTCCCGGTGCTTCATCAACGGGACGTGGTAATTTTGAAGAATTTGGCCCCTTAGATGTGCATGACAATGAACGTAATTGGACCTGGGTAAAAGATATGAATGTTTTATTTATTGATAATCCATTGGGTAGTGGTTTTTCCTATGTCGATAATATTACATTACTACCATCAAAAAATTCTGAAATTGCCGAAGATTCACTGGAATTTATGAAATTGTTCTATGAACGACATCGAGAATTTGAAGATGTTCCATTGCATATTTTCTCACAAAGTTATGGTGGTAAAATGGCACCGGAATTCGCATTGGAACTTTATGAAGCTGTACAGCGTGAGGAGATACGAAGTAATTTGAAATCTGTGACCCTGGGAAGTCCATGGACATCACCGATGGATTCGGTTTTTGCGTGGGCGCCCCTGATGTTGAATATGGTAAGTTTTGTGAATGTAATTGGGGATCTCTAAAATGCCAGGATGTTCCTTTGCCTTTTACAAAAGTTCATTGCTTGAAATGTTATTTTAAATTTTTTAATTAATTTGAATTTGAGGTTTTCATAAACTTGAGCATTATCATTGTGATTGATAATTGCAGATCGAAGGGGGATCACATGGCCCAGTGAATTATAAGAATTCGCGGCTTTATTCGATTTTCAGATCCCTTTTTCAGTATAGGATTCCAACAGATCCAAGGACAATTTCAAGGTCAGTTCATTGGATTATAGACTGTAATGGATGTAGATTATGAAAGAAGTGAATGGGCTGAAGGGAGTCTTTATAGACGAGCTCTGAAAGGTGTCTTTATAGACGAGCTCTGAAGGGAATCTTTATAGACGAGCTCTGAAGGGAGTCTTTAAAGACGAGCTCTGAAGGGAGTCTTTAAAGACGAGCTCTGAAGGGAGTCTTTAAAGACGAGCTCTGAAGGGAGTCTTTAAAGACGAGCTCTGAAGGGAGTCTTTATAGACGAGCCTTTATAGACGAGCTCTGAAGGGAGTCTTTATAGACGAGCTCTGAAGGGAGTCTTTATAGACGAGCTCTGAAGGGAGTCTTTATAGACGAGCTCTGAAGGGAGTCTTTATAGACGAGCTCTGAAGGGAGTCTTTATAGACGAGCTCTGAAGGGAGTCTTTATAGACGAGCTGAATGGAGTCTTTATAGACGAGCTGAAGGGAGTCTTTATAGACGAGCTGAAGGGAGTATTTATAGACGAGCTGATGGGAGTCTTTATAGACGAGCTGATGGGAGTCTTTATAGACGAGCTGATGGGAGTCTTTATAGACGAGCTGATGGGAGTCTTTATAGACGATCTGAAGGTAGTCTTTATAGACGAGCTGAAGGGAGTCTTTATAGACGAGCTGAAGGGAGTCTTTATAGACGAGCTGAAGGGAGTCTTTATAGGCGAGCTGAAGGGAGTCTTTATAGACGAGCTGAAGGGAGTCTTTATAGACGAGCTGAAGGGAGTCTTTCTAGACGAGCTGAAGGGAGTCTTTCTAGACGAGCTGAAGGTAGTTTTTATAGACGAATTGAATGAGGTTTTTAAGCGACCTGAAGGCAGTCTGTATAGATTAGCTGAAGGTAGGCTTTATCGTCGAACTGAAAAAGGGATACTTTATAGACAAGCTGAAGGCAGGTCATAAAGTTTCTTAATAAAACTTGAATGGTGATCTCAATCGGCAGAATCCGTTTTTGTCAATAGATTTCAGTAGATATCCGCCCCTAAGAGCCATATTTAATATGACAAACCCTTATTAACCCTTGTTTACATTCTTTACATTCGTAAAAAGTTTATTAAACGGATGGTAGTTTAAAAAAATCTAATAGTGCGTTTACATTTAACCGGATTTCGTTAACCCAGTGGGTTTCATTTGTCAATTCCTTTGCATATATGTCAAATAAATCCTCATAATGAAGGTTAACCCGGTAAAAAGTTCTGATGTATATGCCGTTTAAAGATTTAAAAAAATTGGTGAACCAAATGTAGTACTAATACCGAAATAATAAAAAATTCCACATTTCTTCTTCTCACCAGGGCATTATTGACAAAGATGGCTATAACAAAATAATGGAAGCTGTTGAGAGAATTTCAGAATATATCGAAAATGACGAATGGAATTTGGCCTACAAGCAATGGGTGAACACATCGTACATAGCCTTAAATGCTAGTGAAAATATAAATTTCTATAATATTTTGAAATATCTACAAGAGGAAGATGTGAATTCGGAGGAAACGACGGATAATCAGCAAAATAATCAAACCCTGTATTCTCTAATGAATGGACCAGTTAAAAAAGCGCTTGGTATAGAAGAACACATTAAATGGGGATCACAGAAATCAGATATTTTCGTTGAACTTTCAAGTGATTTTCTGAAGCCTGTTATAGATATTGGTAAGACCACAATACATACAACTTTTCAGAATTCAAAAATAATCAACCATTTTATAATCTTTTTTTCAGTTAGTGAACTTCTTAGTAATACTGATGTGAAGGTATCGGTTATTTCCGGGCAACTGGATTTGATTTGTGCCACTGCCGGAGCTGTGAATTGGATAGAAAAATTACAATGGAGTTATCGTAAGGAATATGTTAGCGCACCGCGTAATTCCATTCGCATTGACAACAATATTGAAGGTTATGAGAAGAGTGGTGGAAATTTTACCATGTATTGGGTAAATCGTGCCGGCCACATGATACCCGCCGATAATCCCAACGCCATGAGTTATATTCTTAAACAAATAACTAACTATGGATAATAAATCGAATGGAAAAATTTGGAAATGTAATTTGGCGAAAATTTAAAAATATTATTTTGAGAAAACTTCAAGCTAATTTGGATTTTTAAAAGAATTCCTAAGTTAAGTCTTGTTTAAAAGAGAAGAGTGGATTTTATGATAGATCTTTATAGACGAGCTGAAGGCAGTCTTTATAGACTAGCTGAAGACAGTCTGTATAGACGATCTGAAGGTAGTCTTTAGAGACGAGCTGAAGGAGTATTTGTAGAGGAGATGGAAGGAGTAAAGACCTGTGGTCTCTATACAGACCAATTGGTCTTTATAAAGACCTGTGGTCTCTATACAGACCAATTGGTCTTTATAAAGACCTGTGGTCTCTATACAGACCAATTGGTCTTTATAAAGACCTGTGGTCTCTATACAGACCAATTGGTCTTTATAAAGACCTGTGGTCTCTATACAGACCAATTGGTCTTTATAAAGACCTGTGGTCTCTATACAGACCAATTGGTCTTTATAAAGACCTGTGGTCTCTATACAGACCAATTGGTCTTTATAAAGACCTGTGGTCTCTATACAGACCAATTGGTCTTTATAAAGACCTGTGGTCTCTATACAGACCAATTGGTCTTTATAAAGACCTGTGGTCTCTATACAGACCAATTGGTCTTTATAAAGACCTGTGGTCTCTATACAGACCAATTGGTCTTTATAAAGACCTGTGGTCTCTATACAGACCAATTGGTCTTTATAAAGACCTGTGGTCTCTATACAGACCAATTGGTCTTTATAAAGACCTGTGGTCTCTATACAGACCAATTGGTCTTTATAAAGACGTGTGGTCTCTATACAGACCAATTGGTCTTTATAAAGACCTGTGGACTCTATACAGACCAATTGGTCTTAATAAAGACCTGTGGTCTCTATCTTTATAAAGATCTGTGGTCTCTATACCGACCCATTGGTCTTAATAAAGACCTATGGTCTCTAAACACAGATCCATTCATCTTAAGGGAACACCCCATTCTCGATTTTAATTTTTCAAGATATTCAATGGGCTGGTAAATCAATACCAATGCTTGTTAAAGTTTGTAACTTTGCACATATATAATTGAAGATTTAAAAGAGAAGAAAAATAATTTACAAACAATTTTTGTTATTGTTTTGTTGTTGTTTTTTGTAATTAAAAAAATTCCTTATTTTTGATGGCGGGCATGATAACTCCTCACTGGAACATCGGAATCCGAAAATTCCAACGGTGTTAGAAAGAGTACATGCCTGGCTCTCGTATGAACTAGGATTATTGACTTCGACCTAAAATTAACAAAATGGTGGACCTTTGAAAAAATATTTTTGGAAAATCGCCGATTTTTTTTACTAAAAACCAAGTTAAAAAATAAGGAAGATCTTCACCGATTGGCTTTATCCTAGTTCATATTTGGAACCGATTGGATTATTAGTTTTTGAGTTATCGTGCCCGCCATTCGCAAAAAATGTTTAGAGAAAAACGCGTTTAAAGTTTGAGAAGCCCTTCAGACGTCACTTGATGCTGACACAATAAATCGGCTATATCTTCAAGAGTTCTTCAGATTTTCACTTGAAATTTTGTAGAGACATTCTTTAATCAGTGTAGATTCGAATTATATCAACAAAAAATTTGACCCCGAGAATGGGGGGGGGGGTCCCCTTAATAAAGACTTCGATTTTTAAAAATATTTTTAAGAATTTATTCTTAATCCGATTCTGTACATTTCCGTAAAATATAATTCATCGGTTTCTTGTGTTATTTAATATCCATTTTCCTTCGTTTACATATTTCATTGCTTGCTGGGCCTGTTCCATTATTTCATTGTGAGCCCTTAGATCAATCAGTCCCTATAAAGACTCCCTTCAGAGCTCGTCTATAGAGACTCCCTTCAGAGCTCATATATAAAGACTCCCTTCAGCTCGTCTATCCAGACTCACTTCAGCCGTCTATCCAGACTTCCTTCAGAGCTCGTCTATAAAGACTCCATTCAGACCTCGTCTATAAAGACTCCCTTCAGCTCGTTATGAAAGACTCCCTTTAGCTCGTCTATAAAGACCCTCTTCAACTCGTTATAAAATACTCTCTTTAGCTAGTCAAAAATTCCCCCTTCTGCTCGTCTATAAATACCTCCTGCTGAAATGTTTGAAATTTATAACAAAATAGCATTTAGCAGATATTTATACTGAATTGCAAAACTGCGCCCCTTAAATTAATTGAACCGGTCTCTTATCAGAACAAGGGTCGGTATGTGCATGCACATTTATATAATTGATTTAAAAAAATAGGAATTGAAAACAACATTGCCTTATCATGAAAATATTGCTGGGTCTGGCTTCGTATAATTTCGGTATAAGCTATGTCCCTTGATTGTTTAAAACGTTGTTCCGCATCTAAAACAATATGAAGTGTTCTGCTTTTTCATTGTTGTTAATAGGGATATTGTGGTGGAGCTTAGTGTGCGGTAAGAGGATATTTTTTCTTTCAAAAAAGACCAATTTTTATTTGAGGTTAATCGTTTTTTAGCTAAACCCGGCTATGGACCCGGTGAACAAGATTGGGGTTTTCTTGATGTACTCCCAGGAGGACATATGTTCTATTGGCTGTATTATACAACAGCAGATGTTGCCAACTATACCGAACGTCCCTTGGCGCTGTGGCTACAAGGTGGTCCCGGTGTTTCATCCACGGGACGTGGTAATTTCGAATTTTTTGGCCCCTTAGATGTGCATGGCAATGAACGTAATTGGACCTGGGTAAAATATGTGAATGTATTATTTATTGATAATCCATTGGGTAGTGGTTTTTCCTATATGGAAAATATTACATTACTACCATCAACAAATTATGAAATTGCCCAAGATTTGGTAGAATTTATGAAATTATTCTATGAACGACATCGGGAATTTGAAGATGTCCCATTGCATATTTTCTCACAAAGTTATGGTGCTAAAATGGCAGCGGAATTCGCTCTGCAACTTTATGAAGCTGTACAGCGTGAGGAGCTGAGAAGTAATTTGAAATCTGTGGCCCTGGGAAGTCCATTGATATCACCGATGGATTCGTTTAATGCATGGGCGCCGCTGATGTTGAATATGGTAAGTTTATGACAGTAAATAAGGATCTCAAAGCATCCAGGAAACAGCTTTGCCTTTCCAAAAGGCCATTGTTTAAAAAGTAATTTTAAATATTAATTGAATTGAACTTGAGGTTAGGTATTTGATGAACTATGGAATATGTTTTCATAAACTCGAGCATTAGGATAAAAATATCTCAAAAAAAAACTAAACATTGTGATTGATAATTGAAGATCGAAGGGGGATCACATGGCCCAATGAATTAGAAGTATTCACGGCTTTATTAGATTTTCAGATCCCTTTTTCAGTATAGGACAAAGACATAAAAGTATAAAGATAGGACAATCGATACGTAAACAATTTCCAATAGATGGCTTTTCCTCTGTTGTTACGATATCATAACAAACAAACAAACAAATATTAAACGTTTTAAACGCTATATCGCAAGCTTATAAAATAAAAACATATTTTTTTAATGCAGATCTCTAATTTTATTTAAATTTTATAGACACATTATCGCGTATTTGCGTTTTTATTGTTAACATGCCTCTGTTATGCCTGATTCCCCCTGGATATTTTTTCACAAACTATTTTGTCAAAATGCATTTTGTCGAGTCTTTACGGTTTCTGTGTCTTTGTATAGGATTCCAACATATCCAAGGACTACTTCAAGGGCAATTCATTAGATTATCGACTGTAATGGATAGAGACTATGAATGAAGTGAATGAGCTGAAGTAATTCTTGTAGACATGCTAAAAGGAGTCTTTATAGACGAGCTGAAGGGAGTCTTTATAGACGAGCTGAAGGCAGTCTTTGTAGACGAGCTGAAGGGAGTCTTTATATACGAGCTGAAGGGAGTCTTTAAGGACGACCTGAAGGTAGTCTTTATGGACGAGCTGAAGGTAGTTTTTATAGACGAGCTGAAGGGAGTCTTTATAGACGAGCTGAAGGGAGTCTTTATAGACGAGATCTGAAGGGAATCTTTATAGACGAGATCTGAAGGGAATCTTTATAGACGAGCTGAAGGGAGTCTTTATAGACGAGCTGAAGGTAGTCTTTAAGGACGACCTGAAGGTAGTCTTTATGGACGAGCTGAAGGTAGTTTTTATGGACGAGCTGAAGAGAGTCTTTAAAGACGATCTGAAGGGAGTCTTTATAGACGAGATCTGAAGGGAGTCTTTAAAGACGAGATCTGAAGGGAGTCTTTATAGACGAGATCTGAAGGGAGTCTTTATAGACGAGCTTTGAAGGGAGTCTTTATAGACGAGCTCTGAAGGGAGTCTTTATAGACGATCTGAAGGTAGTCTTTATGGACGATCTGAAGGGAGTCTTCATAGACGATCTGAAGGGAGTCTTTATAGGCGATCTGAAGGGAGTCTTAATAGACGAGCTGAAGGGTGTCTTTATAGACGAGATGAAGAGAGTCTTTATAGACGATCTGAAGGGAGTCTTTGTAGGCGATCTGAAGGGAGTCTTTATAGACGAGCTGAAGGGAAACTATCGACGAACTGAATTAGGTGGGCTTTAAAGAAAAGCTGAAGGCATGAAGGCTTTAATGGTCATAGAGATTTATAATTAAAAGTTGAATGAAGATCTTAATGTCCAATGGATCTTTTGTTTTACCTCGTAGAACATTATATTATGATAAGATTGATCGACAGAACCCGTTTTCGTTAATAGATTTCAGTGGATATCGCCCCCCTAAGAGGCGCCTTTGATAGGACTAATCCTTCCTAATCCTTGTTTACATTCCAATTCATAGATACAAATTTTAAAAAATCAGTAGATTTGAAAAATTGGTATACCAAATACAGAACTAATACTGAAATAATCAATAAATTACACTTTCTTCTTCCCACTAGGCCATTATTGACAAAGATGGCTATAACAGAATAATGGAAGCAGTTGAGAAAATTTCAAAATATATCGAAAATAATAGATGGAAATTGGCCTTTTTGCAATGGTGGAAGACATATCACATAGCGATAAATGCTAGTGATAATATAGATTTCTATAATGTGTTGAAATATCGACAAGAGGATGATATATATTTAAAAAATCTAACCTTGCATACTCTAATGAATGGACCAGTTAAGAAAGCGCTTGGCATAGAAGAACACATTAAATGGGGATCACAGGGATTCGATATTTTCCTTAAACTTGCAAGCGATTTTCTGAAGCCCGTTATAGATATTGGTAAGACCACAACACAAAAACATTTTCAGAATTCAAAAATAATCAATCATTTTGTAACCACTTTTTTCAGTTAGTGAACTTCTTAGTAATACTGATGTGAAGGTGTCGGTTATTTCCGGGCAACTGGATTTGACTTGCCCCACTGTCGGAACTGTGAATTGGATCGAGAAATTGGAATGGAATTATCGTGAGGAATACGTTAATGCACCGCGTAATTACATTCACATTGACAAAAATATCGAAGGTTATGAGAAAAGTGGTGGTAATTTTACCATGTATTTGGTAAATCGTGCCGGTCACATGATACCCGCCGATAATCCCATCGCTATGAGTTATATTGTTAAACAAATAACTAATTATGGATAATAAATTGAATGGAAAAATTTGCAAATGTAATTTGACGAAAAATTCAAAATATTATTCTGAGAAAACTTCAAGCTAATTTGGATTTTTAAAAGAGAAGAGTGGATTTCAGGATAGATCTTTATAGACGAGCTGAAGGGAGACTTTATAGACGAGCTCTGAAAGGAGTCTTTATAGATGTGCTGAAGGGAGTCTTTATAAACGAGCTGAAGAGAGTATTTATAGACGTGCTGAAGCGAGTCTTTATAGACGAGCTGAAGCGAGTCCTTATATATGAGCTGAAGGGAGTCTTTCATAGACGAGCTGAAGCGAGTCCTTATAGATGAGCTGAAGGGAGTCTTTCATAGACGAGCTGAAAGGAGTCTTTCATAGACGAGCTGAATGGAGTCTTTCATAGACGAGCTGAAGGTAGTCTTTCATAGACGAGCTGAAGGGAGTCTTTCATAGACGAGCTGTGATCTTTATGCAAAACAATTGGTCTGTATAGAGACCACAGGCCTTCATAAAGACCAATTGGTCTGCATAAAGACTTGTGGTCTGCATAAAGACCTGTGGTATGCATAAAGGCCTGTGGTCTCTATATAGACCAATTGGTCTTTATAAAGAACTGTAGTCTCTATTAAGACCAATTGGTCTGTATAGAGACCGCAGGCCTTTATGCATACCACAGGTCTTTATGCAGACCACAGGTCTATATACAGACCAACAGGTCTTTATAAAGACCAATTGGTCTGTATAGAGACCACAGGTCTTTATAAAGACCAATTGGTCTGTATAGAGACCACAGGTCTTTATAAAGACCAATTGGTCTGTATAGAGACCACAGGTCTTTATAAAGACCAATTGGTCTGTATAGAGACCACAGGTCTTTATAAAGACCAATTGGTCTGTATAGAGACCACAGGTCTTTATAAAGACCAATTGGTCTGTATAGAGTCCACAGGTCTTTATAAAGACCAATTGGTCTGTATAGAGACCACAGGTCTTTATAAAGACCAATTGGTCTGTATAGAGACCACAGGTCTTTATAAAGACCAATTGGTCTGTATAGAGACCACAGGTCTTTATAAAGACCAATTGGTCTGTATAGAGACCACAGGTCTTTATAAAGACCAATTGGTCTGTATAGAGACCACAGGTCTTTATAAAGACCAATTGGTCTGTAGAGACCACAGGTCTTTATAAAGACCAATTGGTCTGTATAGAGACCACAGGTCTTTATAAAGACCAATTGGTCTGTATAGAGGCCACAGGTCTTTATAAAGACCAATTGGTCTGTATAGAGACCACAGGTCTTTATAAAGACCAATTGGTCTGTATAGAGACCACAGGTCTTTATAAAGACCAATTGGTCTGTATAGAGACCACAGGTCTTTATAAAGACCAATTGGTCTGTATAGAGACCACAGGTCTTTATAAAGACCAATTGGTCTGTATAGAGACCACAGGTCTTTATAAAGACCAATTGGTCTGTAAAGAGACCACAGGTCTTTATAAAGACCAATTCGTCTGTAGAGAGACCATAGGTCTTTATAAAGACCAATTCGTCTGTAGAGAGACCATAGGTCTTTATAGATACCAATTGGTCTGTATAGAGATCACAGGTCTTTGAAAAAATATTCTTTAAAAAATCCACTCCTTGGAATTCTCTTCCCTTTTATTTACGACAGTTCTCTCTAGCTGAAACACTCAAAGAACTCTTTCTCTTATGTTGTGGGTGCGTGTGTTTGTGGATCGCAGGTTTTTATTTACCCACCTGAGTGGAACGAAGATTAGCGACAAATTCAGCACAAATAGGCCATTGTATTTCATTTTTTTCGAACATTGACTGATTGCTAGCTAGATTAGAAAATAAAAGTTAGGCATTCGCACATAGCCCTCTGCAGAAGGCTACCAACCATCGGTGCTTTCGTTACCATTTTTGTCGTGTGTATCTTAGCGTTAACGATCAAAGACGTGACCAATCAAACATGAAGATCGTTTTGATGTGTTTGGCTGCCGTAGTGGCTCTGGGTGCCATTACCACCGTGAGTGGTAAGTTTTGAAACAGAAAACGAAAGTGAAAAGAAAAATATAAATATATAGCACACAAATGTGAGAATAAATAAAAAATAAACAAAAATCAAAAGAAGTGAAGTGAATTTTTAATTAGTCAAGAAACAAAAATTGAATTGTAATTTGAAAATAGAAGTAAATAAAAATTGGGTGATTGAGTGAGAGATAATTAAACTGGGTTTGACCCATTTTCCTTTATTAGAAATTCTAAGTACATACATACCAAACAAAAAAGTGGCGCTTAACAAAATGGTGTGATAAATTTTGAAACTTTATGCGGGAAATATGGAAACCAAAACAAACATAATTAAATTTTATTAAATGTTATAATATCTACGTAGTTATTTGTTTATAAAATAATGTTGGCAATTAGTTCGTTAATGTAAATGCAAATGAGGGCCCTTGTGCGCGCGCCTTAAAACACTTATCAATTTGGTTGTGTGACATTTTCCTATGGGGCAAGGTCGTAACGTTTTTATGAAGTGTTGGAAAATTTGTTAGAGTTTTAGTAATAACCCAATATCATAGCAATTGAAACTAAATAAAATAAAAGTATGTGGATTTTCAGAATTCAATAAATAGGACTATAGAAAGTTGATTGATTGAATCCTATTGAAAATAGTGATATTGGTTCCCATATATAGTTTTGTCGGATTTCCTTTAAATGATACACCACACTTCCAGAGTTTTTTCGGATTGATACGAAATTGTTTCTTCAGATATCTTGTAAATGGTGCTTTTAACAATCAAAGTTTGTCGGATTGAAAATTTTGCACATCGTACCGAAATGGATCTAAAATGTTAATCATAAGCGGTTCATTTTACGATATAGTTCCCGGTTTAGATTAAAATATAGTTCCTTTATATATTTTGCACCTCCTCAAAGTGTATACACCCTTAAGGGAACCACCTCCCATTCACGATTTTAAATTTTCAAGATTTTCAATGGGCTGGTAGATCTATACCAAAGCTTGTTAAGATTTGTAACTTTGCAGATATATTTTTGAAGATTTAAAGGTAAAGAAAAATAATTTACAAACTTTTTTTGTTATTGTTTTGTTGTTGTCTTGTGGGATTAAAGGAAAGTCCTTATTTTCGATGGCGCGCGTGATTACTCCTCACGGGAACATCGGAATCCGAAAATTCCAACGGTGTTAGAAAGCGTACATGCCTGGCTCTCGTATCAACGAGGATTATTGACTTCGCTCAAAAATCAACAAAATAGCGGACCTTTGAACCACAAACCAAGTTAAAAAAATAAGGAAGATCTTGACCGATTGGATTTATCCTAGTTCTTACGATAGCTATACTCACATAGTTTTCAAGGCCTAGAATTAGGCGTAGATTTTTTAAAAAATAGTTTTCAAGGCCTAGAATTAGGCGTAGATTTTTTAAAGAATAGTTTTCAAAACCTAGAATTAAGCGTAGATTTTTTAAGCAATAGTTTTCAAGGCCTAGAATTAGGCGTGGATTTCTTTAAGAATAGTTTTCAAGGCCTAGAATTAGGCGTAGATTTTTTAAGGAATAGTTTTCAAGGCCTAGAATTAGGCGTGGATTTTTTGCAGAATAGTTTTCAAGGCCCAGAATTAGGCGTGGATTTCTTTAAGAATAGTTTTCAAGGCCCAGAATTAGGCGTGGATTTCTTTTTTTCAAGGCCTAGAATTAGGCGTGGATTTCTTTAAGAATAGTTTTCAAGGCCTAGAATTAGGCGTGGATTTCTTTAAGAATAGTTTTCAAGGCCTAGAATTAGGCGTGGATTTCTTTAAGAATAGTTTTCAAGGCCTAGAATTAGGATTTCTTTAAGAATAGTTTTTAAGGCCCAGAATTAGGCGTGGATTTCTTTAAGAATAGTTTTCAAGGCCTAGAATTAGGCGTGGATTTCTTTAAGAATAGTTTTTAAGGCCTAGAATTAGGCGTGGATTTCTTTAAGAATAGTTTTCAAGGCCTAGAATTAGGCGTGAATTTCTTTAAGAATAGTTTTCAAGGCCTAGAATTAGGCATGGATTTTTTGCAGAATAGTTTTCAAGGCCTAGAATTAGGCATGAATTTTTTTGGAGAATAGTTTTTAAGGCCTAGAATTAGGCATGGATTTTTTGCAGAACATTTTCAAGGCCTTGCAACACCTCGAAATATTCTCCGGAGAACTCATAAAGTAAATTGTTGATCTGAATAACATTCTATGTCGATTTAGACAGGTCCGTCTGTTGAAATCATTTCAGATCTCTGGAATTTTATGGACATTGTCAGTACGTTTTGGTAACCCCCATATAACGGCACCCTCAAATATTCGGTATTTTGGGGGCTATGGGCAAGAATGTTGGCTATAGTTTGGTTCTCATTGGGTATCATATCTTCATACCAAAAATTTATCAAACCATAGCCTTTATGAAGGTCTGGAGCGATTACATGTATTTTAAATGTCCATCTGATACTGGGTGGTATACAAATTTAAGAACAATTTTAGGCCAGGACATTTTGAAATCCATCATATGTTACAGTAACCTTGGAAATTTTGAAAATAATGTTTCGAGGAATATTTTATTAAGGATTGTCCAAGGCGTGGATTTCAAAGCAATATATCTTCAAGGACGAACATGAATATGTGCTAAAGAATGGAATTCGTATATATCTATCTTTCTTTATACAGGGTCTAAATTTGACCTGAAATTTTTAGTATTTTGAAGCATATTAAAATAAGTTTAGGTGGATAAGCAATAAATATCTATTGTATTACTGCCACCCTCCTTATGCCCCTTCTTAAATAATTTTATTAAAATGTTTTTTGTTTCAAATAATTATTTTTATAATTCAAATAATTTATCAGGTGCATTTTTTTATAATTTTGCAAAATAAAGTATCAATGTCTAAGATTTTCCCCTACAATATTTTACAATCGGAATTAGGAAATTTCCACCTAACACTGTTTCAAAAAATACTGCAATGCACTAAAATTTATACAGAGAATGTAAACCTGTCAAAATACCGGTATATCGCAAGTTCGCGTCTAGTAGCCCCGAGTGCAGTAAATCATTACCGCAATCAATTTAATTTATTGGCTCCTCAATAAAATCGTCACAGCCAATCGTCAATTTAGATTAAACGAAGTTGGGTATTTGTTTGTTTACCAATTCAAAGATATTTTCTAACATCGATAAAAAGTTTCTACAGTAGTGGATTGTGTCGACAAGAGCCACCGCGATTAGATTAAAATCTTAAAAAGTACGGCAATAATTGATAAGTCACCCATTGGCCATATCCATTACCATTGTTACGTATGCGGAACATGGAAAGTTTACATTTGAAATGGAATTTGAACAATTTGTAATTGAATCATCTGCCGCTCCGCAAATCTTGTAGAACATTTTATTTCGAGATAAGTTAAGCCGAAGAGATCTATGATATGTTTTTATGAAGACGGATTAAAGTATGTGACCTAATGTTGGCCAACGTCTGGGATATTTTTTGAGTTCAAGCCTATAGTGGGACCTTGAAAAATTATATTTTTTGAATTTAAGGCTATTGTGGGTAATTGAAAAATTTTATTTCTGGAAATCGCCGCTTCTACTAGGGCTTTAAAAAACATTCTTTAAAAAATCCAAGCCTCTACAAGGCCTTAAAATATCCACGCCTATGGTAGGTATTGAAAAAAAATCACGCCTGTGGTAGGCCTTGAAAAAAAATCTTTAAAAAATCCACGCTTGGGTAAGGCCTTGAAAAATGAATCTTTAAAAAATCCACGCCTGGGTAAGGCCTTGAAAAATGAATCTTTAAAAAATCCACGGCCTTGAAAAATGAAAAAAAAATGAATCTTTAAAAAATCCACGCCTCTCCTTGAAAAAATATTGCCTTTAGGCCTTGAATAAATATTGGTTAAAATCCACGCCTATTAAAAGGCCTTGAAAAAATATTGGTTAAAAATCCACGCCTATGGAAGGCCTTGAAGGCCTTGGTAGTCCTTGGTGGTTAAAAATCCACGCCTTTACAAGGCCTTGAAAATATCCACGCCTATGGTAGTCCTTGGTGGTTAAAAATCCACGCCTTTACAAGGCCTTGAAAAAATCCACGCCTTTACAAGGCCTTGAAAAAATCCACGCCATTACAAGGCCTTGAAAAAATCCACGCCTATGGTAGTCAAGGCCTTGAAAAATGAATCTTTAAAAAATCCACGCCTCTGCTAGGCCTAAATGGTCTTTAAAAATCCACGCTTTAAAAAATCCACGCCTCTGCTAGGCCTTGAAAAATGAATCTTTAAAAAGTCCACGCCTCTGCTAGGCCTTGAAAAATGAATCTTTAAAAAATCCACGCCTCTGCTAGGCCTTGAAAAATGAATCTTTAAAAAATCCACGCCTCTGCTAGGCCTTGAAAAATGAATCTTTAAAAAATCCACGCCTCTGCTAGGCCTTGAAAAATGAATCTTTAACAAATCCACGCCTCTGCTAGGCCTTGAAAAATGAATCTCTAAAAAATCCACGCCTTTGTTAGGTCTTGAAAAATGAATCTATAAAAAATCCACGCCTCAGCTAGGCCTCGCTTCCTAGACCTTGAATACATTTTCTAATTGCTTTTTTTTATTTCAGCTAAACAAGGCTATGGTCCCGGTGAACAGGATTGGGGCTTCGTAGATGTCCGCAAGAATGCCCATATGTTCTACTGGCTGTACTACACCACCGCCAATGTCACCCAGTACACCCAACGTCCCTTGGCCATTTGGTTGCAAGGTGGCCCTGGTGCTTCCTCCACCGGTTATGGTAATTTTGAAGAATTGGGCCCATTGGATTTGTATGGCGAATATCGTAACTGGACCTGGGTTAAGGATATGAATGTTTTGTTCATTGATAATCCTGTCGGTTCGGGTTTCTCTTATGCCGATAACATTTTGGCCTTGACTTCAACCAATAATGAAATTGCCAAGGATTTGGTCTCGTTCATGAAGGGTTTCTATCAATTGCATCCCGAATTCGAAGATGTTCCCCTGCATATTTTCTGTGAAAGTTATGGTGGTAAGATGGCTCCTGAATTCGCCTTGGAATTGTACTATGCCATCCAGAGGGGAGAATTGAAGAGTAACTTGCAATCGGTTAATTTGGGTGATCCATGGACCTCGCCAATTGATTCCGTGTTGGCCTGGGCTCCACTACTGTTGAATATGGTAAGGAGGAAAATTGAGATTTTCGAATCTGGGGAATCCAACTAAAATTGTGTTGTTCTTTACCAGGGTATTGTCGATCAAGATGGCTATGAGAACATCATGGTGGCTGCCAACAAGACATTGGATCTTGTGGAAAGGGAGAAATGGACCCAAGCCACCATGCAATGGAGTAATACCCAAGGTGTTCTCTTGAGAGAATCCAAGGGTGTTGATTTCTATAATATTGAGAAGCCAACCCGTGGTGATGCCTACACACGTATGCTGCTGAAGACCAATAACTACAAAGGTAGGTCATTTCCCTCTTTTCTCATGAGAGTATTTCAAATTATTCTCTCCTCTCTTTTTAGAACAAATGTACCGCACTTTGGTCAAATTCGACATTGATGAAAATCGTGACAAAATGTTGGAAGATTTGATGCGTGGTCCAGTCAGCGAAGCTTTGGGCATCCCCTCAAATGTCAAATGGGGCTCTCAGAGTGGCAGCACTTTCACCCGTCAAATGGGCGATTTCATGAAACCAGTTATTCATATTGGTGAGTAATTTTTGAAATGTTGGAAATTGGATTCAAATACTAACCTCTCCCTCCTATATTTTCTAGTCAACGAACTCTTAGACCACACCCCCTTGCGTGTCTCTGTGTTCTCCGGTCAATTGGATTTGATTTGCGCCACACCCGGTACCGTCAATTGGATTGAGAAGTTGCGCTGGAGCTATCGTGATCAGTATTTGAAGACACCCCGTATTGGCATCAGTGTTGATCGCATTTTGGAAGGTTATGAAAAGACCACCGGCAATTTCAGTATGTTCTGGATCAATCGTGCCGGTCACATGGTACCAGCCGACAATCCAGCTGGCATGAGCTATATTTTGAAGAAGATTACCAAATACGATCAAAATTAAATTAATTTTGTGAAATAGTTTTTGTATGTAACGAAATAAAATAAAATACGATAATTATAAAAAATAATCTTTAAAAAATCCACGCCTCTACTAGGCCTTGAAAAATTAATCTTTAAAAATCCACGCTCTACTAGGCCTTGAAAAATAAATCTTTAAAAATCCACGCTCTACTAGGCCTTGAAAAATAAATCTTTAAAAATCCTCGCCTCTACTAGGCCTTAAAAATTAATCTTTAAAAAGCCACGCCTCTTATAGGCATTAAAAACTTAATCTTTAAAAAGGCACGCCTCCTATAGGCCTTGAAAAATTAATCTTTAAAAAGCCACGCCTCCTATAGGCCTTAAAAACTTAATATTTAAAAAGCCACGCCTCCTATAGGCCTTAAAAACTTAATCTTTAAAAATCCACGCCTCCTATAGGCCTTGAAAAATTAATCTTTTAAAATCCACGCCTCTACTAGGCCTTAAAAAAATAATGTTTAAAAATCCACGCCTCTACTAGGCCTTACAAAATTAATCTTTAAAAACCCACGCCTCTACTAGGCCTTGAAAAATTAATCTTTAAAAAATCCACGCCTCTTCTAGGCCTTGAAAAATTAATCTTTAAAAAATCCACGCCTCTACTAGGCCTTAAAAACTTAATCTTTAAAAATCCACGCCTCTATTAGGCCTTGAAAAATTAATCTTTAAAAATCCACTCCTCCTATAGGCCTTAAAAATTTAATCTTTAAAAATCCACGCCTCCTATAGGCCTTGAAAAAATAATTTTTCTTTAAAAAATCCACGCCTCCTATAGGCCTTGAAAAAATAATTTTTCTTTAAAAAATCCACGCCTCCTATAGGCCTTGAAAAAATAATTTTTCTTTAAAAAATCCGCGCCTCCTATAGGCCTTGAAAAAATAATTTTTCTTTAAAAAATCCACGCCTCCTATAGGCCTTGAAAAAATAATTTTTCTTTAAAAAATCCGCGCCTCCTATAGGCTTTGAAAAATTAATCTTTCTTTAAAAAATCCACTCCTCCTATAGGCCTTGAAAAATTAATTTTTCTTTAAAAAATCCACGCCTCTACTAGGCCTTAAAAACTTAATCTTTAAAAATCCACGCCTCTATTAGGCCTTGAAAAATTAATCTTTAAAAATCCACTCCTCCTATAGGCCTTAAAAATTTAATCTTTAAAAATCCACGCCTCCTATAGGCCTTGAAAAAATAATTTTTCTTTAAAAAATCCACGCCTCCTATAGGCCTTGAAAAAATATTCTTTAAGAAATCCACGCCTCCTATAGGCCTTGAAAAAATATTCTTTAAGAAATCCACGCCTCCTATAGGCCTTGAAAAAATAATTTTTCTTTAAAAAATCCACGCCTCCTATAGGCCTTGAAAAATTAATCTTTCTTTAAAAAATCCGCGCCTCCTATAGGCTTTGAAAAATTAATCTTGCTTTAAAAAATCTACGCCTCCTATAGGCCTTGAAGAAATAATATTTCTTTAAAAAATCCACGCCTCTTATAGGCTTTGAAAACTTAATCTTTCTTTAAAAAATCTACGCCTCCTATAGGCCTTGAAAAATTAATCTTTCTTTAAAAAATCCACGTCTCTATATACCTTGAAAAATTAATATTTAAAAAATACACGCCTTTGGTATGCCTTGAAAAATTAATCTTTTTTAAAAAAATCCACGTATCCTATAGGCCTTGAAAAAATAATCTTTCTTTAAAAAATCCTTGTATGGATGCTTGCAAAAATATTTTGTATATGAATTCTAAAATCCACATCTTTAAAAAATTCTTAAAAACTAAAATCGTTTTTAAATTGTCTTACTATACCTCCATGTTGAACAAATTTCATAATTTCCCCTCCAAAGCCACATGCAGGCATATATACTGCCGTTTGAACTTCTTCTTTTTGTCTGCTATTGTTCTCAACACCTGCATGAACTAGTTTGAACTGTTTTGTATTTTTTATTTCGAAATAAAAAAGTTTTACACGGCGTATGATTGATGTGTGAAACTTTATTAAACATACGTCAGTGTAGTGCACCCAACCAAATAGGTGTCTGTATGTGTATTGTGCAAATGTATCTTGTATTAGGTAAGCTGTCGCAGCAACATGGTGATGATATCGTCGTTGCCATCATCATCGTCGTCATCCATGGCAATAACTTTTTCCATTTCCTGCCAAGAAAAACTTTTACAAATTAAAAAACTATGTTATTTCCCACATGCAAATTGTGTAGTTCAACGTTTTGCAAAAAAATGTTCGTATAGAATTGATATACGACAGATGTGAGGTGAATGTGTGTGTGTGAGTTACATATGTATTGTGTTTTTAGTAATTGTTCTTCTTCTTATTATTATCATTACAATACCGAAAAAGAGTTGTATTGTCTTCTAGGGGCAAAATAACTTTGGTGTATTGTAATTTTCTTTTGGAGACTGGCAGATATATGAAATTAATCCTTTGGGGACCGGTTTTATAAACCATGAATAAAATGGCGATTTTTTCCTTTGAATGCTTTCTATAGCCTTCACCACACTGTGGTACAGGGTATTATGTCTTTGTGCATATGTTTGTAACAGGCAAAAATAATCGAGATATACCCATGGTTCCTTTTGAGAATATGCATAGAATCACTTTCTGAGTCGATTTATGGATGTCCGTCCGTCTGTCCATGTTAAATTGTAAACAAAGTACAGGTCGCATTAATGATTCGAATTGGATGAAATTTGGCACAGCGCATTTGTTTGGCCCAAGGACGAATCACATTGAAATTGGGGAAAAAATCGGTTCAGAGTTAGATATAGCTCCCATATATATTTTCGTCCGATTTAAGGTAAATGGTGTACCAAAGTCCCTATTTATCTTTCGATTTGCACGAAATTTGTCACAGTGTAATGAATAAGTTCTAGAATGATGTGTGTTAAGTTTTGTGAAAATCGGTTCAGATTTAGATATAGCTCCTATATATTTTCATCCGATTTAAGGTAATTTGTGCATCAAAGTCCCTATATATCTTTCGATTTGCAAGAAATTTGGCACAGCGTAATGAATAAGGTCTAGAATGCTGTGTGTTAAGTTTTGTGAAAATCGGTTCAGATTTAGATATAGCTCCCATATAGAGTTTCTCCCGATTTTAGGTAAATAGTCCACTAAAGTCCCTATATACCTTTCGATTTGCACGAAATTTGGGACAGCGTACTGAATAAGGTCTAGAATGTTGTTTGTTAAGTTTTGTGAAAATCGGTTCAGATTTAGATATAGCTCCAGTATATATTTTCATCCGATTTAAGGTAATTTGTGCATCAAAGACCCTATATATCATTCGATTTTCACGAATTTTGGCATTCAAGTTTGTCATAGCGTACTGAATTAAGTCTAGCATGATGTGTGCAAAGTTTCGTGAAAATCGGTTCAGATTTAGATATAGCTCCCGTATATATCTTCGTTCGATTTTATGTAATTGGTGCACCAAAGTTCCTATATATATTTCGATGTTCATGAATTTTGGTATAGGGTACTGAATTAAGTCTAGAATGATGTTGCTAAGCTTCGTGAAAAGATTCATAGCTAGGCCAATTGACACAAAGTACTGAAGTAATATAAATTAGTCTCTGGCAAGTTTCCCTGAAATCGGTTCAGATATAGATATATAACAAACACGCGACGTCTGTTAGGCTGCATTTGTAGGATATACCCAAAGTGGTGAAGGGTATCATATAGTCGGCCCAGTCCGACTTTACTACTTTTCTTACTGGTTATATTTAAAGGAGTTCAATCCCACTTGTGGAACGGCTAACCAAGTACTTCTCCCTCCCACTGAAAATCAGACTTATTCGAAATTCATTGAAACCTAATTTTTTTATTGTTATTTGAAAAGTTTTCTCTGCCGTAGCGTTGATGTCAATTTTATTGCCATTAAATCTCCATATCCAGTTTTGTAATTGAAGAACTTTGTTTAACGACCATTTCATAAAGGTTGTAATGAGTGTTTCAGAGGCAAGTGCCATAAAGTTATTAGCTTCTCTTATAAGAAGACACTTAATTTCGATTGGCTTTCAATCAGCTGGGGGAGGTAAGTGACTATTGTGGATATGTTTTTGGTATTGTAAATTCTAAAACTTTTAAATTTTAACTTAACACTGATTTAAGTCCTTAAAATGTTCTTTAAATAATCCACAAGACGATATATGTAACTTTAAGTAGCACAAGGTCAGCAGTTAAAATCGGAAAGGACCCATCGGAACCCTACAATACCGAACGAGGATTCAGACTAAATGACAGTTTATCGTGTGATTTTTCTAACATCCTGCTGGAAAAGGTCATTGGAGACGCAAAGGTGAACAGAAATGGCACTCTGTACACCAAACAACACATGTTACTCGCCTACGCCGATGACATCGATATAATGGGTCGAACATTTCGAGCGGTAACAGCCACCTTTGAACAGATTGAGAAGGAATCTGTCAGTAAACGGCGAGAAGTCCAAGCTGATGGTATCAACGCGCAAGACGTCCGGTAGACTCGGACCAACTGTGGAACTTGAGAACTACTGCTTCGAGGTAGTTAAAGATTTTAAAAATACCTTGGTACCGCCATAAACAAGACGAATGACATCAGTTTTGAAATTCGGAGAAGGATTGTGATGGCCGGTAGATGCTACTATGCTCTAAGTAAGAAGTTTAGAAACAAGGCCACCGCCCGCCAGACCAAGCTCACACTTTACAATACGCTGATACTACCCGTGCTGTTATATGGATCTAAAGCATGGGTACTTGCGCAAGCAGATGAGGCTGATCTTGGGGTGTTTGAAAGAAAAATTCTCCGAAAGATCTACGGGCCGATCGGCGTCGACGGTTAATATCGGTGTCGAATGAACCATGAGCATTACAATTTATATGCGGACATGGACATAGTCAGTCGTATTGAGCTGCAGCGACCACGGTGGCTATGTTGATCGAATGAATGAGAATGCTGCTGCCCACAAAGGCATATAAAAGCGAGCCTACT